GCCTCTCCTGAGTCTTAAAAATAAAACTTGACTGCAACTACTCGATCGTTAAATACATAAACACTAATTCCTTCACTTATGTTTGGTCTAATATTGCCACTAAAACTTTCAATAGCAAATGAGTATTTGAAACTTCTTATTTTTGACTCGAAATGTCTGGATTGTGCTGGTGAATTCAGTCCAAAAACTTTGTATAAGTTTGTCCGAAATACGGGCAACATAACATAGAAGTAAACAATCCATTTGAGTTTTTCTCAATTGAAGTAGAGACCGAGTAATACAAAAGTTAACAATAAAAACATAAGGTCCGCAAAGATTTGGTATAATCTTACTACTTGAACTTATCATAGTCAAGGCATTATTATAGTTTCTACTAAATGTTTTGAAATTTCTCAATCTGTCAGTGTCAGAAGTAAACATTTCTTGCATGCATTCATTTGATCGGTGATAAGGCAAGTTTACCTTACCACCGTGAAAACACCATGTGCTTTGTATATTGTTTCACTTCCGAAGTAAGTTGCATAGCATAACTGTCAAATATTATTCATCTCACCAAGTGCATTTGAATCTGGATGGGTATCTGTTAGACCAGGCCTCTCTTTGTCTACTCTCCTCATACGCATAAGATATATCTTATTATTAATCGTCTCCTCCTCCCGTTTTCAACATTTCTTCTTTGAACTTGAGGCATTTTCTGTTCTTCCAACAAAACTGATTAACTGTTTAACTTGGTCTTAACCTACTGAATATTACAAACATTAATATTTACTCCCAAAAAGCTAATGAGTTTCTTTATATAAACAGCTGTTTTTTGTTTTTAAATTTGTTCTGTGTATTTCTTATGGGGAAAACCCGACCTTTGAGAGGGTCTCACGCCCTTAAGAGTAAGAGTTTACACCAGTTTGAATTTTCCTGTTTGTGGTAAATTTAAGCGTAGCTGTGGTAGCGCTTAAGTAAGTATCAAGTATCAAGTAAGTAAGTAAGTAAGTATCAAGTAGTAGTCCATTGGAGTCTGGTGACTGTGGTGGCCAAGCAATTGATTCGCCCCTTCCAATCCACATTGGGAAAGTATTTCCAATGTAAATTCGCACAGTATTATCAAAGTGGGGAGGTGCACCATACGCTTGCTAAACTATTTGCTGACGCACATCCAACGGAGCCTTGGTAGAGTATCAGTAAGGACGTTGAGATACTGACAGCAGTGTAATGAATATGGAAGATCAATGAAAGGGCCAACTAACTGGTTTTAGAGTAATCCATCCCATACATTTACTTTAAACCATGTTTGGTTTCGACACTGGTGTATCACGTGTGGGTTTTATGTAGCATAATGATGTCCATTATGGATGTTGTAAATACCATCCCGAGTAAACTTGGACTCGTCTGTCCACAAAATCGTCTTGAGGAAGTCACGATGATCAAGTCAACTAACAGAGCGACATAACTGAAGTATCTGTAGACAATCTCTTGGTTCAATAATCTGCACTCGTGTGACCTGGTAGGGATGCAATTTTTTTTTCTTAATAGCTGAGAAATGTACCCAAGTCACGAGAAACTGTCCTTTTTCTTGTCCGCGGATCGTCCTCAAACCACCCCAACACATCTGACACAGCTTCTTAAACACACACACACACACACACACATCTTGTATCACGTTCCCAACAGAACGATGTTTAGTGCTCGTGGAAACTCGTATGGACACTGATGAATCTTCGTTCATTTGAAAGTCACCTATTAGGAAACTGAAGACTGTATTCACGCCAGATTATAGCCGCATTTGAGAACATATCCGGAATATAATTTATTTTTGTAAAAAAATACAACCGACTTCAAACGCTTTAAAAAGAATGAAATAATTTCAATAAAGTAAACTTTTGTATTAGGCAAGCTCACGTATTTTAAGTCGGCGCGGCTCTATGATGATTTTTGATACAAAATTGAAAGAGGGTGCCGATATTGCAGGTGACTATCTATATAACTAAAGGTGTTAATCTGCATGTCTTTTTCATAGTTATGCGTTAAGTGTTATTTTATTACCGTAATCAGAGATCGGCATTATAGTGGTATTAACAAGTATCTTTAAAAAGATTATAACGCATTTAAATGTTTCTAACTTGGAAAAGTAACGTTTTAATACTAAACTAGCTTCTTTTCCCTATCATAATATCAAACTAAATTATTTTCCTATTCATATAGAACATTTGTGTGTGTTATTTTCATAATGCATTTATTCTGAAGTAAACATAAAATACAAGAAAATATTTCCTTTAATATATAAACAAAACAGTTCAGTATGTTTTTTATATATTTATGTTATCCAGCTACAATTTATTGATTTTCAAAATACACACAATATTTAATTTCAATCATATTTGCAGTTTGAGCCGCGCCGACTTGAAATACGTGAGCTTGCCTAATACAAAAGTTTACTTTATTGAAATTATTTCATTCTTTTTAGAGCGTTTGAAGTCGGTTGTATTTTTTTACAAAAATAATTTATTTCATGATTTTTAGTGACTGTATAATTTTTTTATGTATTAATTACTTGAGGTTTTTTGATAAGCAAAACTGTTTGAAACAATCAAAAGTTCCACAGAACAATCATTATTTTAAAACTGCTTGAGTCACCTGTTCAGGTTACATAATCAATGGGTATGAAAATAAACATTTTTTGATATTCCTTAAGAAAAAAAAGAGTTGTCCATTACATTTTTTTTTTGTCCTAAGGACGCTAGGCACGAACGAGCCTGGGATTGTTTTTCACATTACTTCAGGCTAGACCTAGGGGTTGCGGCATTATCACTTAGATAAAATCCATTGGTGACTTGGCGGGGATCGAACCCGGGACCTCAGGGACTGAAGTCCCGCGTTCTAACCACTACGCCAGCTCGCTTCCCTGTCCATTACATTAGGCCAAATGAAATGTCAGACATCGTCGTTTCCTGCAATCGGTGTACTTCTACATTATAAAAAAAATACAGTAACGTCCCAAGCCTTTTGGAACAATATGAAAGTTATTCCTCAACCGCCAGCACTAAAAAATCTCTCAAAAGTGGAAAATTGGTCATTAACACGTATGGTACCTTTGGAAAATATTATATGAAAGATTGGTTCAGCTAAAAGTGGTGTAAGTCATGTAGGGGGTTTTGTTTGCTCAAGATATAGCCTAGTCGAAATTGCAAATCATCTTCCTCTAGGACTTTCCGAAGCAGGCATAATAGTATTGATATGTTATAGTAACTGGGTAGAGAATATTAATAAACATTCCACATCTGCAAATGAAATATGTATATAAAAGATTGGTTCAGCTAAAAGTGGTGCAAGCCATGTAGGTGGTTTTGTTTGCTCAAGATTGTTAATTAGGTATAATAATACCTAGTCGAAATTGCAAATCATCTTCCTCTAGGACTTTCCGAAGCAGACATAATAGTATTGATATGATATTAGTAACTGGGTAGAGAATATCAATAAACATTCCACATCTGCAAATGCATGTTTAGTAATTAAAATATTTAACACTTTTAAGACAATTGACGATTATGCACTGTCACACTTCTTAGGTAGTGTAAGGAATAATTGCATTTAATTTATATTTAGACCTGTTTTACGAATGCTTTGGTTTTCACAATACACCTTTATTTGTCAATATCATACAGCTATTCACTGAAACATATATGTTTTTGTAATTTAGAATATTCTATACTAAAAACAGAATTACTGTATACACAAATCAGGTCAAACGTTAAAATACATTTTTTATAGTAACCAAAACAAAATGCATTTTTCTCAATGTAATTCATTTAGGCTCCATGGCAAGAAATAGTTTATTGATCAATATGAAGCAACTGTTTCATGAAGAATTGTCTGTAGCTTCATTTAAATGGTTTCAACTAACAGCTGTAGGAATGTTATTATTATTTATTGCCTTCTCTGCACAAATGTAAAAAAAATAAATGTTGAATATTTAAGGTTTTTAGAATTTTTCACCGAAACAAATATTATACTTAAACATAATATATAAGGTACCAAATAGAAACTCTCCTGGTTATTTTGGTGGTGGAACCACACTGATCGATAAAAGAATCACAGAGAAATTGGTGAACATACATAGAAAAAAAAAACATCGCCACAAACAAATTGAGAACCTCCTCCTTTTGTTGGTAGTGGGGAAGTCGGTTATAAAATCATATCAAGATACTTCGTTGGTGAACACCGACATAGCATTAAACAATTAAAATATTTTCCAAGTATGTTCATAAAATTGTTAATAATTTGAATGTTTACAAGCCAACAATTGAAATCAGCTGGTTTTGTAAACAAAGTTTAACACCCAGCTATTCATCAGATGTCAGCTGATTAAAAGATAAGTAAGAAAATAACAGAGACTGTATTACATTTGGTTCAATGTTTTGATTCCAAAAACTCTGACCTTGACGCAGTTTTGACCTAATTTTTCGAACTTTTAATTCAGCAATAACCTTATGGGTTACATCATTTTAAAGGGCATGAAATGTGGAAGTTTCTTACGTAATTTGACAAAACATTACATTAGTGTTAATAGTTGTAACACCACTTTGAAGTTATAAAGAAGTAGGTAATTTACAAACTTCTTTATTTATGTTATGTGAGACATACAACGGTGAAAATATGATTGTATGTTAAAGATGTTGCAATGGTTTTGTAGGAAATTTTACGCTCTTTTCATTGGTATAAGTTATTATATTGTACATGCATTGGCTTAATTTCTACGCTCGTTTTAGTGAAGCTATTACAGGTAATTTTAAAAATTCACATAATTGGGCATTACAGCCTAACAGGTGGGGTTAGAAAATTTTTGTTTGGCATTTTTCGTTCCTTTTAGTGAGTAGAATAACTGGTAAAAATTAACGCACTTAATAGAAACTCACCCTGTATATATATATATATATATGTGTGTCCGTTAGCACGATAACTCGAGCAAAAATGATCCAATTTGCAGAGGTTGTAAAAAAAGATAATAATTTTAATAAACAAATTTATATACAAGAAATAACTGCATAGAAATTGACACTAATAATAACATGTTACACTGGAATTAAAAATCCAAATATTTAACGAAATGGTTAGTTATAACAAGTTACAATAGTATCATCAGTTGATGAGAGTATTATTGTGACATGAGATTAGGAGGCACAGGAGGCAGGGGTGGGGGGACCAGATGGGCTGATAGCCACCACATGAGTAGAGGCTGCAGCCCAGCAGTGAACAAAAGGAAGTAGAGCCTTCTCTTGTTGCCTCCTCCTCCGCCATAGCCACTGTACTCCTGGGTAGACGTCACCTCTGCCAGGACTTGCCACTTGAGTGACCTCATCTGTAACATACACGAGTTAACGAACCTTGTCCGTCTTCAGTCTTATGTAGTATTCACAGGATTACTAGTTTCGGGTCATATGATCCATTGTCAAATTTAGCATAAAATTCAAAGTGTTTAAAATACATCTAAAAAAAAAACCGAGAAAGCCACATAATGGTAATATTTAAAAACAGAAAACATTTAACTAAACACTAGGCTGGCTACATTCATTAAACAAAGTGACACAAGCTGCGCGGCAGACTTGACAGAACTGTTATTATTAAAATAGTTCAATAAGTTTCCGTAAAGAAAAGTTCATTTATTTAGATGATAAATTGAACTTACCATGAAAATTGCAAGGGAAAATCCACAATAGATAAGGCCTATGTAGTATCCAGTTTTATTCAAAACTATGCTGAGAAGTACCGCAGTTATGATCCTAAAAAAAACAAAAATCAAAATTGTAAAGAAATTTTTACTGTATTTTCCACTAATATATAAATTAAGTATTTATATATTACATATATTATATATATGTAATATATATATATATATGAATATACTTGTAATATATAATATCCTTATATATAATACGTGAAGGCGATTTCTACGAAACACTACTCCTCCGTTAATAATGGACGGATTTTTACAAACGACGTGTCAAAATAAAGTATTTTTTGTGTAGACGCCCCCTTTCACCAATTCCTGTAATAAGCATCATCGGGCTTTGCCCCACAAGCCATCAAAGTTGGAGTTTCTCCCATAAGATTAACATGGGGGAATCTAAATATTTAATTGGAAACTTTGTCCCCACTAATTTGAGAGAACGGCTGGGCGTAGAAACTTGGTAGAGGTGTCCAAAGAAAGGTCTTGGTCTGTAGATGAGTTATCAAAAGAAAAACTAAGCAAAATCCTTTAGGACTCTGCCCCAGAAGCCTTTAAAGATCCCTCCACAGAGTTGTTTACATTTTGGCCATGCTAATAACACTTTTAGCGAATTTCCCTATAGGGAAGTAGCTATTACCGTAGGTCTCATGGTAAGACCTGGGCGCGGGACCGATTTACTTTTTCATTTTGATGTCCCCAGAGGCCAAAAACACTAATCGTTCAAATTCATATATATATATATATTTATATATGTGTCCGTTAGCGCGATAACTCGAGCAAAAATGATCCGATTTCGATGAAATTTGGTATAAACGTGTAAACCTACGTTTATTCGAACGAGTTCGCGAACCAGCATGATTGGACTATGGGAACGGGGGTTTATGGGGGGTATTATGGGGTAAAAATGGGGTTTTCCCATTTTTGACCCTAAAAATAAAAAATTTTGCAATTTCTTTTTAAACCGTTTTGTAGAGCTTAAAAAAATAAATAATTTAGTATATTGAAGCGCTGTTGTATGCCTAACGGTCCCGGAGAAAATTAAAAAAATAGTGTAATTTAAAATTCCCGTGTTATTCTTATGGAGAAAATGAAAATTGTTGTAGTTTACTTATTTATGGATATATATTGATAAAATTTGGCAAATTTATTTATTTCATCCTATACTATTGACTATTGACATATAGTCATAAAACACTTTTTACCTTTCCCGTAGCAGCAGACCTAAGCACTCATTAAATCTAATGTTATTTAAATAGGGGATAAAATATGTCTTATTTATGGAAATATTTGAGCAAAAATGTAATAAGACGAGTTGAAATTCGCTTAGTCTGCAGGTTTGCTGCGGCGGGGGTATTTAATGAAACAGCTGTTCATTTTTAAATTTTATTTCAACAACACACATTTATTGGGAGTTACTGAATTCTACCAAATAAGTATTTGCAATGTTATTTTCTGATTTTAAAATTGATTTTCTTCTTGATCATCTCATGTTTTGCAATATAACGTTCCATTTCGAAATCAGTGGAAAATCCTTTTATCACAGCAATTCTTAAATTATTTCTTATTGAACTATCTTATATCTATTGTATGGGTTGGTCTCTGCCTTTTTCACCAATTTTGCCTACATCTATCTATCTATATATATATATATATATATATATAATACGTGAAGCCGTATTTTGTTAACGCAACTCCTCCCTTATTTGTGGACCAATTTCAACGTTTAACGTGTCAAAAGATTCGTCTCAATATGTAGTTTTGCAATAAGGTTTTAGAACTTAAAAATGTCTACTTTTAAGGGTGTGAGACCCTCTCAAAGGTCGGGTTTTCCCCATAAGAAATACATAGAACAAATTTAAAAACAAAAAAACAGCTGTTTATAAAAAGAAACTCATTCGCTTTTTGGGAGTAAATATTAATGTTTTAATATTCAGTAGGTTAAGACCAAGTTAAACAGTTAATCAGTTTTGTTGGAAGAACGGAAAATGTGTGAAGTTCAAAAAAAAAATTTTGAAATCGGGAGGACGAGACAATTAATAATAAGGTATCTTATGCGTATAAGGAGAGTAGAGAAAGGCCTGGTCTAACAGATACACATTCACTTGGTGAGATGAATAATATTTGCCAGTTCTGCTATGCAACTTACTTTGGAAGTGAAAAAATATACGAAGCACATAGTGTTGTCACGTTGGTAAAATAAACTTGCCTAATGTCAGATCAAATGAATTTATGCAAGAAATGTTTACTTAAATATATAATATTTTTACATGTTGCCACTGATCTGAGCGCTACCCTCATCTCCATTCATACTTGGCTTAAAATACCTACATTTGTATGGTCGCCATTTTATAAAAAAATATTAAAGCTGTCCTATATGCATTCGCCGCTTGTCGGACCTTATGCTGAGCAAGCGTTTCAGTAGCTCGCCGTGAAGCAGTTGTTATTGTGCTCGTCAGCAAGCTTGCTGCTTGTTCTTCTATATTGTCTCATTTCGTTGATACTCGGCAACTCTTCTGGCATTTTTAGATTTTTGAGATAAGTTACTTTTTCTCTTTGGCATATAAATATATCAATTTAAGAGTTAGTTATAATAAAAATAGTAAATTTTAAATCAAAATACAATTTTAAAGCAGAAACAAACATTCGTCATAACAACACTGCAGGATCATAACAACTAAGCTAACAATAATAACATCTAACAGCTGTGATTATTAAAGACAATTAATTGAAGAGGACAAAATCAACCGAACATAAGTCAAATATATGTATACAATAGTTTTATAAGTTTTATAAAATCCTCTTTGGCTCAGGTTAACCCCCCCCCCCCCCCAGCAGTGTCCCTAGTTTTGGCCTTAATGTTTGCCTATTTTTTGCGCATTTGCAAGGTTTTATTAAAACGGATCTGAGAAGCTTAAAAACAATGTTAATTATACTGTTCTATATACCATTTTCTTTGGAAAATCATGGGCTTCAATATTATACATAAAACATAAGGAACATTCGTTTCAAAAAAATCTTTTTGGTAAAAAAAATATTTTGGAAATAAGTTCGCGCTCAATGAAATTGTATAAATTATAGGCCTCTAAATATTTGAAAATAGCCACTTTGTTCTAAATTTTATGAGGATTACAAATATATAATAATATAAGGAAGTAGATTTGCAAATAAATAAGTTATGGGCAAAAAACAGATTTCAGTACATAGCGTTTAGCTAAGAATGCATAGCCTAACCATAGCTAGGAATCTGGCTGATAATTTACATCAATATCACTACCTACTTCATCCGGATCGTCAACCAGCCCTTCAAAATCACTTAAATCTTATTATAATGCACCACGTATATCACTACTTTTGATTTTTAACACTAAAACAATGATAAACGTAATAAAACACATCAGTCATCGGTGCGAGGTTAACCAAGCTGTTTACAAATACGCACGTCAGCTGTCTGCTACAATTATGATCGGCTCGAGAAAAAAAGCGCTTAGGGTCAGACCTAGGGAGAAAGCTTAGAATCTGCCAAATAAAACGATACCTAACTCGATCCAGTTCAATCCGATTTTGTCAGTCATAGAGCCTTCGCCGTAAACAGTGTTTGTGAGTCGAAATTTCGACACAAAACACTACACAAAAAAAAAATTAAAAAAATTTCTGAAATTTCGACAAATAACACTCGGAGGGTTAGATAGGTTTGCAGCAAAACACATACTAAATAAAAACACATCTTAGTTGTCTAAATGAAAACAAAGTTAATAGCAAGTGCAAGTTAATTAATTATGTTAAAATGGGAAAAATAACATGACCAGGCACTGTAATTAAACATGGATCACCAGCCACACTCACAGATCGTCATCAAAAAAGGTTCAGATATTACAACAGGATTCAAACTACTTGCAGTATCCAAACTAAACTCAATGGGAAAAGAGAGGTTACCATTGATTATAGAAAATAAAATTAACCCTTTTTCCAATGATTTAAAAGTCAACTGCAAACAGCTTAGTTTTAAAATATTGCCAATGATTCAGTGGCGTAACAGATTTTCACGGGCCCCGCTGCAAACTTTTTTGGGCCCCCCTCTCATGAGTTATTTTTAGACCACCGATACTACGTAAGTTCATTCAAAGAAGTTATGGAGAATCTGTTGACGTTCCTTAAAAACGAGGTAGAGGGAGAACAAAAAGTCTCCATGGCATTGGAAGGGTTTGGAATTGCAAGTACCAAACACGATATAAAACATCCCTCAAGTTCCTCTCAAGTTTTGTGGGGATCTTCTATGAAAACAAATAAAGGTTTTGAGAAGCAAAAAAAACCTAAGCCTTTTGAGAAACAGCCTTCGGTGGCGACACTTATATTGAATACGGAAGGTACTTATTCATTGCATTGACTTGTGTGTTTTGTGATAAAAACCACGGATCTCAAGATTGTGTGAAAGCTTTGGATAGCTATGTCTCTTCTTGGGCGAAAAGATATTTTAAAGAAGAAAGGATCTTGTTTCAAGTGTTTGAAAGGTCGACACATGAGCAATTCCTGTAAAGCTATGGTAAAGTGTGCAGCTTGTTTAAGAAAACACTATCCGATTATGTGTGAAGATCTACAAAAGAAAACTACCCTTTCCCTAAATAAAACTGAAAAATCTGATTAACAGAAAACTATTTCTGAGGATAGTACAAGTCAGGCATTGGTGTCGAGTACTAGTAAATCAACAGTGGTTTACCTAAGCACACTTCTTGTGAAAATCGTCGTGGGAACCCAAGAACACAAAGTTTGTGCGTTGATGACTCTGGAAGCCAAAAAAGTTATATTTTGAAATCTTGTGCGACTGATTTAAAACTGAAGAGAATGGGTGAAACTGTGACGAGTCAAGAGATGTTTGGGGGACAGAAAACGAATTTAAGGTCTCATGGAGTTTATTCTGTAAAACTTAAATCCACAACTGATGGTTTTAATGAAGATTTCAAAGTTTTGGACACACCTCGTATCTGCAGATTCATACCAAAAGTGTCGGATGTCAAAATACAGGGTGCGGCAAAAAAACCGATCCATTTTCTGCAG